GCGCGGCTGCTCCCCGTCCCCGGGAAACGCGTGACTCATACAGGAGGAAGAGGAGGAGGAGGCGAAGGAGCGCTGGGAAGGAAGCCGAGCGCGCGGGCTGCCGCTGCGGCCGCCCCTCCTCCCGCGCCGCCCGGCCCCTCCCTCCGCACTACTTTCCCGGGCAAGTTCCGAGCGGGAGGCCGGCTCGGCGCGCCCGCGGGCTTCCTTCTGCCGGGCCTGAGGGCGCGGGCTCCGGGGCGCGAGCTGCAGGGTGGGCACGCCCGAAAGGCACGCCGGATCACCCCACGTTCCCTGTGCCGCCCCCTCTCCGGTCCCGGGGGGCCGAAAGGGAAACTCTGCGCGTCACTCCCCACCCCCGACCCACCTCGGGACCTGGAGGGGAGGCAGCCCCACCCCCCCATCCACCCGGATATGGACCCGCCCGACCCGGCGCAGCCCACGAGCGCTCCCTCTGTCTTCCGCACACAAGCGGGGGCCAGACACACGTACGCAGTAACCTGGAAATTAGCCTCCCGGGCAGAGCGACTACAGGGGCAGGGAGGTCCTCGGCTTCTGCAGCGAGTCGGAGGGGAGAGGAGGGGAGGGCGGGCGTTCTCACAGGTAAGCTCGCTCCCAGCAGAATTCTGATCAACGCATAATGGACACCAGGGCCCGGACTGGGGTGAGGCAGGCGAACCCTCAGCTTCGTGCAAGCGCTTGCTTACATTTCCTACCTAGGCGCCTCACTTGCCTATTGCTGTTGTCAAACATTACCACAAACTAAGTGCTAACAAAAGCTTGGCAGTTCGAATCCACCAGGCGCTCCTTGGAAACCCTATGGGGCAGTTCCACTCTGTCCTATAGGGTCGCCATGAGTCGGAATCGACTAGATGGCAATGGGTTTTGTTTTTTTTTTTAAGTGGGTTAAACACAAATTTATTATCTTACAGTTCTGGTGGTCCAAAGTCTCAGAAGGGGGCTTACGGGCTAAATTCGAGGTGTTGACCGGATTATGCTCCTTTTGAAGGCTCCGGGGTTGGGGGGGAATTCGTTCCTTGCCCTTTGCGGCTTCTAGAGGCTGCCTGCATTCCTTGGCTCCTGGCCCCCTCCCAGCGATGACATCGCTCAGACCTGTGCTTCCATGATGCAGGAGGGCCTAAGTCAGACCCTTGTGAAGACCCTTGTGATTAAACTTGGATGAGCTTTTCCATAAATGATGTTGAAATGATGGCAGAGCAATATGCCAAAAATAAAAATAAAAAAGGACCTTGACGCAATCCTCAAGACTTGTACAAAAATGAATTCAAAATGAATCATAAACCAAAATGGGATACTTAAAACGCAAACTTTTAGAATAAAACAAAGGAGAAATCTCCATGAACTTGGGTTAGGGAAAGAGTTCTCCGGTACTACACAAAAAGCATGATCCATTCATAGAAAGTGATAAATGAGGATTGTCAAAATTAAAAAAATTTTGATCTGCAAAAGAACTAATAAGAGAATGAAAAGACAGGACACATTGGATAAAATTATTTGCAAATTGCATATTTGCAAATAATTTTTGTGTCCAGAATATATTTTTAAAAACTCTCAAAACATATCAATAAGAAAACTTTGTTGTTAGATGCTATCGAGTGGGTTCCAACTCACAGCCACCCCATGTACAACAGAACAAAATGTTGCCCAGTAGTGTGCCATCCTCACAATAGTAGATAAGTTTGAGCCCATTGTTGCAGCCACTGTGTCAGTTCAGCTTGTTGAGGGTCTTCCTCTTTTTTGTTCACCCTCTACTTTCCCAAGCATGATGTCCTTTTCCAGGGATTGGTCCCTCCTGATACAGTGTCCAAAGTAAGCAAGACAAAGTCTTGCCATCCTTGCTTCTAAGAAGCATTCTGGCTGTACTTCTTCCAAGACAGATTTGTTCCTTCTTCTGGCAGTCTGTGGTATATTCAATATTCTTCACCAACACCATAATTCAAAGGCATCAATTCTTCAGTCTTCCTTATTCATTGCCCAGCTTGATTTTTTTTTTTTGTTTTAATTCTTTTTTTTTATTGTTGTAATTAAATGAAGTTTACATTTCAAGTTAGTCTCCCATGCAAATTTTTTTTTACATACATTGTTATGAGACCCTAATTGCTCACCCATTCTGCAACAGCACACTCCTCCTTTCCGCCCCTGATTCCCCATGACCATTCAACCAGCTCCTAACTCTCTCTGTGTTCCCATCTCACCTCTGGCCAGAAGCTGCCCCTTTGGTCTCTTGTATTTACTTGACTAAGACGCACACTCTTCACGAGTATCACTTTATGTCCTACAGTCCAGTCCGATCCCTGTCTGAAGAGTTGGCCTCAGAAATTGTTTTAGTTCTGGGCTGATAGAGTCCAGGGGCCATGCTTTCCGGGGCACCTCCAGTCTCAGACCATTAAGTCTGGTCTTCTTACTAGAATTTGAGTTCCGCACCCCATGCTTCTATTGCTCCATCAGGGACCCTCTGTTGTGTTCCTTGTCTGGAAATTCATTGGTGGTAGCCAGGCACCATCTAGTTCTGGTCTCAGGCTGATGAAGTCTCTGGTTTATGTGGCCCATTCTGTCTCTTGGCCTACTACTTTCCTTGTGTCTTTGGCGTTCTTCGTTCTCCTTTACTCCAAGTGGTTGGGACCAATTGATGCATCTTAGATGTCATTGCCCAGCTTTCACATGCATGTGAGGCAACTGAAAATATCATGGCTTGGGTCAGGCACACCTTAATCCTCAGGTGACATCTTTGCTTTTTTAACACTTTAAAGAGGTTTTTCGCAGCAGATTTGCCCAATGCAGTATGTCGTTTGATTTCTTGACTGCTGCTTCTATGGGCGTTGATTAACAACTTTACTTTTAAAATGGTAAAAAATTTAAACAGACATTATACCAAGTGAGATATACAGATGGCAAATAAGCACATGAAGAGATGTTCGACATCCTTAGACATTAAAAAAAAAAAAAAAACCCATTGCCATCAAGTCAATTCCGACTCATAGTGATCCTATAAGACAGTAGAACTGCCTAACAGGGTTTCCAAGGAGCAGCTGGTGGATTCAGACTGCCGACCTTTTGGCTAACAGCCGAGCTCTTAACCACTGCACCACCAGGGCTCCTAACAGATATTAGGAACGTGCAGATTAAAACTACACTGACTTACCACTACATACCTATCAGAATAACTACAAAAACAAAAAACCTGACAGTATCAAATGCTGGTGAGGATGCAGAGTAACTGGAACTCTCGTACACTGCTGGTAAGAATGCAAAATGGTACAACCACTTTGGAAAACTGTTTGGCAGTTTCTTTTAAAGTTTAACATGTACTCACCATAAGACCTAGTAATCCCACTCCTAGGTGTTTATTCAAATGTAATGAAAATCTATGTTCATTCACAAAAAATCTTTATGTGAATGTTTATTGCTGCTTTATTCATGATCACCAAAACCTGGAAACAATCCAAATGTCCCTCACCTGGGAAATGGATTAAAAAAATAATAACACTGTGGTACCTTCATATAATGGACTCAGCATAAAAGCTATTAACATATACGGCATCAGAGATGAATCTCAAATGCATTATGCTAAGTGAAAGAAGCCAGATTTCAAATAATGCTATATGATTCCATTGATATGGCATTCTGTAAAAGGCCAAACTATAGGGATCAGTGGTTGTCGAAAGTTAAGGGTGAAGGGAGGGTTTGACTACAAAGGGGTAACTGGAGAGAAATTTTTGAAGGTGGGGTGATAGAACTGCTCTATATCTTGATTGTGGTGTGGTTATGACTCCATACACTTGTCAAAACTCACAGACTGTAAACCACAAAAGAGTGAATTTTATTAAATTTAAATTTTAAAAACAAATTTGAAAAAAAAAGGAAAGTATATTAGATCTTCAATGTCCTGTGTATCCCTATGTTAGGGAATGGGTTTTCTAGTTAGGAAATAAAAAGATGGATGAATGGATGGGTAGGTAGGTGGGTGGGTGGGTGGGTAGATGGATGAGTGGGTGAGTGGGTAGATGGATAGGTGGGTGGGTAGATGGATGGATAGATGGGTGGGTGAGTGGGTAGATGACAGGTGGGTGAGTAGATGGATGGGTGGGTGAGTGGGTGGGTGGTTGAATGGATGGATGGATGGGTGAGTGGGGGGGTAGATGGATGAGTGGGTGGGTAGTTGGATGGATGGATGGATGGATGGATGGATGGATGGATGGATGTCTGCCTGCCTACCCACATACTTATCATCAGTTACTCAAATCTTTTGGTTCCTCCAATGATATTATGCAGACCTTTTGGATAGAGGATAGGTGTCTTTTCTGTACACCACCCACAAGTTATATCACAGTGGACATCTGAGGATTAAATAAGATACCAACTGTGAAAGTTTTTTGTAAATTGAGAGTATACTACAAATACCAGCTCATTTACTGCTAACAGAAGAAACAATCTAGAGTTTCATTTGCTTCTCCACAATGCTAAGGCTCTTGAAAGGCCACAGGACAAGCACCACAGAAGTTAAGAAAAACAAATCCAAAGATGAAGTGATACGCAGGCAATGTGGTAAATGTACATTCAGTACAAAGTCACCACTCATGACCGCCTGTGACACCTCCCCTCCCCAACTTGCCGTTTGCTGAGATGCACTATGGAGGGTTAGAAATGGAGGGATGAATCCAATATCAGCATTTCACTGTGAGTTGGCAGTAGAGGTGGGGCCACCAGACTCCCA